TGAACTCAAGTGTAAGAAATATTTTAAAAAAAAAAAAAAAAAAAAAACTAAACAAGGACAGTATAACTCAAAGGCAGAGTGCTTGTTTAGAATGCCCAAGACCCCATGTTCAATCCATAGTCTTCCCAGGCCCCTCCCAAAATCCTTTAATGAATTGCTAGTTAGCAGACAAGTTTGATTACTTCCTTAGATAGCATTCTGGAGAGACTATTGCTCTCTTACAATCCTTACATAGATCTTTCTAGTTGTTGAAGTAATCGAAAGATTTTTCTAGTTTCACAAGAAGATCTACAAGTTTCCATGTTATAGAACTCCATGTACTTGTTGGTCACCATTAGAGTGCAGAATGGTTATCTATAGGGTCAACTCAGCTAATAAGATAATTATTTTATAGAAAGATATTTTCAACAAAAATAAAAATGCTTTCTAATGTCTCTTTATGTTGGCTCCTGTTTCATAAATATGATCAGACATAGACAAGCACTGATTTATCACCTAGATCATAGAAGGCATTTAGTATCTGCAGACTCTAACTTTCTGCTAACTCCACTGATCAGAAAATCAGAGAAACCTAAGTGTTAAATCTGACTGGAGAAGTTCATATTTGCTTAGTTTTCATAAATCTACAGTCTTGGAGCAATGTGGGATGTGCAAGTAGTCACAGTGACTTCCCTAACTAGCAATTGAGTAGAAAAGACAGACTTGGAAAAAAATGGCCTGCAGATGACCAAACTGTAATGTATATACGCCACTTAGATTTAGAGAAGGTCATATACACATGAACAGGATGTTCAAGTTTCCACATTATGATTCTATTTCTTAAAAAAATACTCTGTCTTGTGTTAAAAACCTGAGTCACTTTCAGATCAGTGTACACATAAGCGTCAAGTCCTTTTCAATGGAAGACATAAAACAGAGCACAGTACTTGGTACAAACTGGGGCAAAGGCATGCAAGCCATGAGGAACAGTTCCATGTATCATTTCCTGATATGCTTGGGAGTCATCCATTTATCATAAACAGAAGCGAGTTTTTATTTTGAAAATCATTTTGTAGGAAAAAAACTCCCACTGTTGAAAGGAGCCAGGGTAATAGATAGGTAAACCAGCACGTGTATGGTTTCCAAATACTTATTAAATGTACTTCCTAAAGTCCCACGTTATCTATCAACCCAGCTGGGAATTAAGTTGGGATTAATTTAGATTTGTGTAGAATCTAAGCTTTCCTATCCGTCCTGGGGTGCTGAAGACATAGACTGTTAGAACCTCAGAACCAGTCCAGGGACTTGTATTTTATCAAGCATTTCGTAGGGGACCAGAGGTTCTGGGTGATCAGAGTCTACATTCCTAATCCCTACGCACACATTTGATCATTTATTCAGTGCTATGAGTTGCATCATTGCCAGGCATGCTGTGTGAAAGATTTCTGCTGACCACAGACCCCCAGTAAGTCACCTAGAATGTTCTCTTGGAAGTGATCTAGATATTGCTCTTCTGTGTTCATACAAGACTACTAAATCCTGGCTATCAATAGGTACTTGAATCAGTTTAATCTTGTGTGCTGTGGTTTCCACTATTGATATTTAAAACTATGCTCTGTTTATTGATACCAAAATGTTTACTTAGAAAGGAACAAGCTCTCATAAAAATGCTTTCCCTGTGATCTCTATCATGTTATATGAGATTTATTTAAAATGTCAAGAGAGAATGTGTTGTCAAGAGTTTCCTCCCTGCCAAAGTGCAGTGAATTATTAAAAAGTCCTATCATCCAGGGCAGCGAGCACTCTCTTCCTTCAGCCATTTGGAAGTACTCTTATAGGCAAAACCCACCTTTATTTTTCATTGTCAGAAGATACCAATTACAGCAAAACATAAAGACCATGATGAGGTAAACCCTCAAGAGGCAGTGGAGCTCATGGAAGGCAACTGTTGATCCTGGCTTTAATGAAACTTAGGAAAGATGGAAAGATGGTTGTTTTTTGACTTTCTAATCTTGTTCTAAATTCCTAAGCTCATTGCTTTTCTTTATGATACATAATTTCTTTTTTGGAGATGGTGCATACACTGTATCATCTGTTTCCAGGTACTGCTAATTTATTTCTATGGTTATTTCTATTTTTTGTTTGTTTATTTATTTATTTATTATTTATTTATTCTCTTAACCTATCTGTAGCATCTTCACCTACTTCCTTCTATTCAGGAAGCCATCTTTGGTCACAAGCAAGACATAAATGCTTGCAGACTAATTGCGGTCCTCCTCACTTCACACCCACGTTGCACACCAATGCTGTTCTGCCTGAACTTCCTAAGATCATTGTGGAATTTACTGCTAAATTAAATTAAATGTAGGGATATTTTTAGGTGTTATTTCCAAAGTAGCTGATTGTAGATTACAGGCAAATAAATGAAGATCTGTGCAAAACGAAAAGGAAGCAGGCAACCCTATTGACTTCCCTCCTGATTGTCATCAGTGTCCCCACTATATCTCCATTGTATTGTTTTGTGGTGGGGGGTCATTTTACTATATAGCCTTATTTGTTCTTCTTGGCCTCAGCTTGACTAGCAGTTAATAGGTCTAGGTTACAGGCCACTGTCATTGCTGTTTTTCTGTTTCATTGAGCAAATCACTTTAATTCTGAACTCAGTTTCATCCTCCATAAACTTAACAGATAGGAACATTTTTATTTTAGTTTTAGGTTTTGTTATATAAATTAGACATGATAACTCCTGGGCTGGAGAGATGACTCAGCAGTTGAAAGCACTGGCTGAGGACCCAGGTTCGATTTTTAGCACCCACATGGTGGCTAACAGCTGCCCATAACTCCACTTCTAAGGGATCTGACTCCCTCTCTGGTCTTCATGGACATTGCACAACAGGGGTGCACTTACATCCTCGCAGACAAAACACTCATAGACATAAAAAACAAACAAACAAAAAACAGGATAGACTCCTGAAAGAATTTTAAAATATTAGAATGATCCTTAAATACCAAATGAATATAATCTTTGCATAATATTTTAAGAAATATTCAATGAAACTGTTCTTTTATCATTTGGCAACAAAATACTACATTTTGGTTGATGACAGTCACTAACCATAGGCTTCTCATATTATTATAATTATTAATACCACTAACTGTCATTTCAGATCATGTTTTTCACTAAGGAGGGACATTTGAAAAGGACTGAGTTCTCAGCATAGAGAGACCATCATGGCAGCTATAAGGATGTCAGATTCCCATATATCCTTTCTCTTCATCCTCATTATAATGGTTCCTTCTTCCTTTTCCTACACGACATCATGAAGGTGGTGTTAGCATCAGCCTGATGTATGAAGACATGTTGTCTTTAGGAAAAAGACATGTTTGTCTCCATAGTGTCTTCAAAAAAAGTCTAATGTCTTCATCTAGGATTTTAAAACTGTCCTCGCTCGCTGTCTCAGCCCTCATTCTCACTCTTGCCGTGCTCAGAATTGCTATCTATCAGATGGTTGGAAACTCCTTCCCCATGTCCACAATGCTCTTGTTTCTGACCCTTTGGATCCATTACCCATATTCCCTGGCTGAAATCCTGCATTTCTTAAAGTTGCCTCTCATCCACAAAATACGTGGTCCTCTCACTGCTGACATTTTTCCTTTTCTGGGCGTAGGCAGTATTTGTACACACTTTGGATTACTGGGCCTTCTTATAGCATCTGTTCTGTTTCATTATATTTTATTTTTGATTTTTTTGTGGAGGGCTTTCTTCTTTTATTGCCTGTTTTCATCTCTATGTACAAAACTGTGAAGTCTGAGAATGGATTCTTCTTTTTGTACCAACAGGAGAGTCTGGGAGTTTTACATAGATAATAGAAAGTGGTCTGAAAAGAGTTATGGAATGAATCAAACTGAATTTCTGGGCAGCATTTTTAGATAAGGATATCTCACAGAAGCTTTTGTGAAAATCAACACGTTTAGAGATTAAATCTCCACTGTTCTTATTCTGAAAAAAAAAAGTTTTTAAGTGTTATTGGAAGGGAAAAACCAAGCTACTTGGTTAATAAATGCTAGTAAGATTGAAAAATACATCTTGATAGAAATCAGTTACCATATATTACAGATACTTATAGCCATGAGATTTTTAAAAATTTATTTAGTTTTGTACATTTCATGAGCTATTTTACAAAGCTACATGCTTGATTTAGGTGTTCAACTTAAAGGACACACATTTGCACATTTAAAGTGTTTTGGGCATCTGTAAAACACAAGTAGACATTCTAGAATCTAGGCAGGTTTTCAAAACAACAGGCTAATCCCTACAGAAAGGAAATGAAGCTTTGTGTTATGCGTTTTTTCCTTTGCCTTTTATTTAGTAAAAAGAAAAAAATTAAATCTGAACAAATATTTTCCAAAGACTGCTTTTAGGAAGAAATCAAACTTGAACAAATACATTTTACAGCATTTTTATTGATCTTTTTTTGTGATTTCCAGACAATATAATTTGATGACATTTATATCCCCTCTCCCATCCACACCTACCTATATGCCCCCCTCCCACACTTTATTCAATGTAATAAAGCCTATAGTCTAACTTGACTCCCCAAATGTTCTTCAACGTGGGTTCATCCGCTCGAGCTTGCATAGAACTTGTGCATGCTGTGAACATTGCTGTGAGTTCATATGAGTAACTGGCCAGCTGTCTGGACAATCCTGCCCCACTACCCCAAGGTCATCCCCCACCTCTGGCTCTTATAATCCCTCTACCTCCTCCTCTTTAATTGAACAAATATTTTTAAGCAATAGCATGACCAGCTTTTTGTGTTATTATTATAATATCACGTGATTTTTCCCAAGTCATAGTATTTCCTAATATTTTGAGTCCTGTGACAATCAGACCTAGTCAAAGGGCTGGGGTGTTATACTGAGTATGGCTGTAGTATAGATACCTGAACTTTTAGAATATCTGTTCATTTCTTCTCATTTTTCCTACTCTTTCATTCTCATTATTTACATTTTTTCCTTAGATTATTGAAGCGAGAAGACAGTTTCACATTCATTCCTCGGTCCCGGGAAGAGCTTCCAGACAACTTTCCAAAGGAAATCCCTGGGGTCTGCTATTTCCTGGAGGTAAGGACGGGTCCAAAGCCGCCAAAGCCTTCTCTGTCTTCATCAAGAATAAGAAAGGTTTCCTACAACATCGGCACGATGTTCCTGCGGGAGACAAGCCTCTGAGACCTGCCATAGATCAAAGACTCCTCCAAAAAGCACAAGCCCAAAACATGGGTCCCTACGAGGGTAGGAAGAGATTGTTTCTCTTCCAATGCTTTGTTAAGAACAAACAATTTCTGTGTTAATGTCAGGCAATAATCCTTGAAAAGGTGGATGACGACTGTCAATGAAATAAACAAAAGCTGGAAGATGGGAAGGAAAAATAAGATGTATTCATCCATATTCATGTTTTGGGTCATATATATTTTAATTCCAAGTACAGGTCCCCTTTCAAAACTAATATTCTAATAGAATAGAATCTGTGTTTTCTTGTTTGTCACCCGTACAGGTATCTCTCCCTATATATTTGTATCACTTTGGGGAACCAGTTTTGAGTATATGTCCTACATTTAGTG